AGGGGCAACCAGGCCGGCAGAGGGGGACAGTTGGGGATGACCTAGCCGGCAGTGGGGGGCAGTTAGGGGCGACCAGCCTGGCAGGGGGGGCAGTTAGGGGCAATCAGGCCAGCACACAGAGGCAGTAAGGGGCGATCAGGCTGGCAGGTGGGGGGCAGTTAGGGACGATCGGGCAGGCAGGGAGGTGAGTGGTTAGGAGCCAGTGGTCCCGGATTGCGAGAGGTTATCCCCCGAGGGGTCCTGGCTTGGAGAGGGTGCAGGCTGGGCTGAGGGGACCCCTTCCCGTGCACGAATTTCATACATCAGGCCTCTAGTAAGTAAATAAAATCCACAATATGGAGAGCTATATGATACATACTGAACACCAATGATATGTGCCCTTTTCTGTATGTTAAACTTCAATGAAAAGTTTTAAAACTTTTTAAATAACATTCAGTGGACACTAATAATTATGGAATCTGCAAACTGGAGGGAACCTTAAATATCAATTGCTCCACTTTCCTCATTTTATCGATGAGGACACTAGTCTCAGGAAAGCTACACGAATTGCTCTCCTTGGAAGTAAATAACTCTATGCATATCTCAAAGATATTGTAGGTTTGGTTCCAGACCACTGCAATAAACCCAGTGTCGCAATAAATCAAGTCCTAAGCTTTTGCTGGTAGGGGGTCCTGCCTTCAATTTGTAAAAACAAAACAAAACAAAACAAAAATGAACATCTGTATCTGTGAAGCACAATAAAGCCAGGTATGCCTCCATCTGAACCAACTGAATAGTCTGTTAGGCTACTAATCACTCTATGATTTGACCCTGCCTTAATTCTCTGCCAACCTGACTCGCTCTACCTTTATTCTATAATAATTTTTAGCATATTATTTGCTAATGATCCCCCACCTGGCTCCATTTATAAAAATCTACCCAAGGCCTAGTTCAAAAGCCCCTTCATGAAGCTTTCCTCCACTAGCTCCCCTTGGCCTTCATCATAATTATCATAATTTACCCTGAATGGGTACACATTCCATCCCTTAGAACTAAGCATATGCTCCTTAAGGGAAATGTCTCACCATATCCCCACTAACACAGTGCCTCAGGGATTGCTTGTTGCCCTAATGAATAACCAGCGCCAGAGCAAACCAGAAGGAGTGATCCTCTCAATGAAGGGTCATTGGCCTTTGTGAATGCCCCTGAACACTGGAAACTCCCAAAGGAAGGCAAGAGCTGACTGCTGGAGTCGGGAAGTCTATCCTTTACTTTACAAACACTCATGTAGCACTTAGACCCTAACCGTGACTGTTCGAAGTAGCTCATAAATATTAACTCATTTAATTCTCACAACCTTATACAGTACAAACTACTACTAATTCATTTTACAATGAAAAAAAGAAGCAAACAAAGATGAATTAATTGGCCCAAAATCACTGAGTAAGGATTGGAAGCCAGGGTCCAAAATCCATGCTCTTAACCACTGAGCATACTGCCTCAAAACCTGATCGCCTGTTAGAGAACAAGAGATAATTCAGAAAAATAAAATCGCCTCTTCTGAAAACTGCAAAATTACTTTTTGACTTGTTTCCTAAAAGTTGTTTTAAAAGGTGCTAGAACTCCAAGTTATAATTCTCTTGGACACCAACTCCACACACACACCCCCCTCCCCCAATAAAATGTCGAGGTACCTAATTGTTTTAACTCACAAAATAGTATCATCTGATACCCGGGCTTCACACTGCAGCACCTGTGATCATTTCCTGCTTCCTTTAGGAACACAGTATTACTATGCTTTCTGCCAGCCTCTCAAATGATATGCTCTTCCTATCTCCTATTTCCAAATCCTTAAATAGCTTCTATCTGGTTTGAGGCTTGGACCTAACACAAATGTCACATCTGGCCTCTTGAACAATTTCATCATTTCACCTTGCAGCCATACTTATGCTAAAGGTCAAGAAAGGATGCCCTATAATGTAGCCAATCTGTCCCCACCCGCAAGTAATGCTTGCTGCAAAATAGATCCAGCTGCACGCTGAATGTGAGGGTAATGGGGCAATCACTAGCCCTCCGGGTAGAGCTTTGACACTCTGTAAAAGGACATTCGTACTGACACAGTTTCTAATAACATGACATCGCTTTGAATGGTAGGCAGCAAAAATAAGAAGCAGGCCATCCTGATTTGCTCCTTTCGAGCAATGATGCCAGGTAGCTACTAGGCAAAGGCAAAGGCGAAAAGAATGTTTTGCCCCACTATGGATGAGGAGCACCTGCCATGCTGTATTCACTACAGGCAGTGCCAAACCTGCAGACACCAGGAGAGGAATGCAAAATCATTTCTTAATACTAAACCCGTGTGATATAAAATTTCACACCAAAAAGGGATTTTTAAACTTCAGACATTTTGCCTGTTAAAACCAAGCTTGGCAAACCATTGCCTACGTGCCAAATCAAGCCAGAAGGCTGTTTTTGTACAACCCTTGAGCTACAAATATTGCTTTTTAGGTTCAGAGCTATAAAAGCACAAAAATACTGAGACTGTTGCCAGCAAAGCCTAGCATATTTACTGTTTGACCTTTACAGAAAAAGTTTGCAGAGCCCTATGTTAAAATACACATTCAAAGAAACAGTTGCAATTTAGTTACTAATCTATCAGTGGTTCACATTAATTTTTTTTTTTTAAGTCACTGATGTTCAACATCATTCTCCAGTCAAGGAGGAGTTGTACTAAAAGTCCAGACCGAGCTACTTGATGTCTATTTGATGCGGCTCTTATTGTCTGCTCAGTTAGAAACTGGAAAAGTATTTGCTAGGGGATAAAAAAATGAAACTGGCTTTATTAAATTTCAGGACAACCTAGAGATTATTCATATAAATCACCTATTTTGTTTCTTTCTCCCAAACCATTCAGCAAACAGACTATGCTTTTTCATATTTTTATAAGACACCTATTATCACTTATTCTATGACAACTACCACACTTGGCACTTTCTTTACATGTGTAATTTTTTA